TCTTTCTGTGTTGCGAAGAAAAGGCACTGAACACCTTTTGCAGAGAACACTTTTCTGCATAGGCGGCCCGCGGCCGCACTTAGGGATTATAACCCTCACAACGTAGAATTATCTTTCTGTGTTGCGAAGAAAAGGCACTGAACACCTTTTGCAGAGAACACCTTTCCGCGTAGTCGGCGTCGGCCGCACTTAGGGTTTGTAAGCTTTTTTTATAATTATTTTAAATTAATTAAATTCTTGTAAGAACTAAACAACATATATATAAAGTACGTATACCGAATTATAGGGAATCAAATTTGCTATTAAATGAGATCAAAATTTTAATTTCTATTCATTCGTTTTTGAGAAATCTTGATTTCAAAGATTGCTTATTTTGAACTTTAACCTTTGATAATTCTTGTTGTTGTTGTTTGCCCAAAAAAAGAAGTATACTGTTATACTCAGCTCAATCATCTCTATCGATTCCAATATTTTTTTTTTTTTAGTTTGAGATTTGGAGCCCAACTGCATTTATGCAAAAAAAAATTCCCCGCAGAGAGTTTTCAAAGCTATATATTTATGGTATTCATCACGAAATTGTACCAAAAGGTACTGCGTAATAGGAAAGTATATTGTAAACGAAATTGTACCAAAAAAGTACAATTGTACCAAAAATGCCAACACTGTTCTGTATACATATTTTTTCTTTTTCACTTTTTTACTCGCCTCGTCTGAATAGGGATGGCAACTTTTTCACTTCCAACTTCTCATTGAACTTCGCATTCAACTTTTGTTGCCTGTAAAATCACCTCGTGCGAATGCCCTATTAACTACACGATTGTTGTGCGGATTTTCACCATCGGAATATTGCTATTAAATACAGAATTTCGCGAAAGTGTACACTTAAAACATCACAAATGTATAAAACTAATAAATACGTGTTAAATTAAGTTCCATTTATTCCATTCATTTGCGTGAAATTCATCAAAACATAGTGCGGAAAGTGAAGTTGTTTTTTGCAAATAACTCTTTAATGAATTAAAAATGTTAATTTCCGGTCTCGGATTGTTATTATTGGCGTTAAGACGCGTCGATTGATACCACTTTCGAACCTTTACCGTCCATTTTGAGTTACCTTCGCTAAAGTGCACTACTACCCTAAAAAGAAGTTGACAATCTTTGCGAACTGAAACGCGAAATTCCAAAGTAGCTATAGTGCTGCCACTGTATTAGTATTTCGTAATAATTCAGTTTTCCGTACAAGGTGTGTGCAGTGTTCAATGCTTTTCGGTATCTTCTTGCATTTAATATATATATAAATGAAAACGTATTCAACAATTTTTATGAGCTTGAGACCGTTTTAAGTGAAAACTTTATGTGGAAAAGTAACAATAATTTGAAAAAATGGTAGAAGTGATAGCTATTTCGGAAATCACCACATTTCCTCATCAGACTTCTTTCAGTAGGATTCGAACCGACGATCACCACTGACTCAGCCAGTTGCCTGCGCACTGTGCTAAGTTTGTCTTGTTAATTCTTATTGCTTATTTTCCACTATTTCACTTTGCTAAGCCAACTACAATCAAGCGCAGCTATTCCGTTGCAATTCACTTGATCATGTAGTTGTTGTTGTTGTTGTAGCGGCTACTAAGCCCCGTTCGGGACGGTTCATCCATCATCGTTGTCGTCTATTTCAGCTAGGGGGAGGCCCAGGAAAATGTTACTTCCAGAGGGGCTGTCCATAGAGACAGGGGCGTTAGCTGAGTAGGTGGAGAGTCGCCACATGACTCCCGGCACCTCTTCACATGCCGGGCATTGGTTGGGCACATCCTCATTGATTCTACTCAGGTAGCTGTTGAGCCTGCTGCAATAGCCAGAGCGAAGTTGGGATATTGTTGTGCGGGTCTCCCGAGGCAGACAAAGTTCTGTCCCGTCCACGTCCGGTGGTTGTGTGCCTAGAACGGCATTCACAGGGCGGGAGTCTACATAACTTGAGACTGATTCCCTGTGAATGCCGTTCAGGGCCTGTCGGTAGGTTGTCGGGTCCAGAGGTTGTTTAATACACCTCTGGACTTCGTCTGTCAGTTCGTAAAGATGCACCCTGACGTGCCGTGACGAGGGCTCTTCCGCGAGCAGTTGCCCGCTGGGATGGCCACATCTGTAGCTGCCAGCGAGGAACTGCTTGCAGAGCATTATGTTATGCTCCTTTACCGGGAGCATCTGGGCCTCGTCGTGAAGGTAATGTAGAGGCGTCATCAGGAGGCATCCTGTCGCGGTTCGTAATGCCGTGTTTTGGCAGGTCTGTAGCTTCATCCACTGCGTCCTGCTTGTTCAGAACCGGCCGGCCAATTGCCTTATATGTTGCCAACAACATTTCTTTATCTTTGCCCAAAGTGCTGCCGGCCAGCGACTTGAGAACATTGTTGCGGCTCTGTACTTTTTTGACAATTGCGGTTGTATGCGCCGAGAAGGAGAGCAGACTGTCGAAGGTAACTCCGAGGATTTTCGGGTTATTCACCGTCGGTATTGTTACGTCATCGACGTGAACACCCAGTGGCAGTCTGACCTCCTTCGTCCAGGTGGTGAAAAGGGTTGCCGAGGATTTCGCAGGGGATATGGCTAGGCTACTTGCAGTGAAGCAGCGAGAAAGTTCGGAGAGGTAACCGTTTACTTTTGAGCACAAGTCATCAATTCCATTCCCAGACGCCATGATCGAACAATCGTCAGCATATGAGACTATATTACACCCTCTGGTGGCTGAGGAAGCTTTGATATGTAATAATGAAACAGTAGCGGGGACAGGACACCACCCTGTGGTACCCCCTGTTTATTTTTACGTGGCGTGATCATGTGGTTGTTGGTTTTGTTGGTTTTTGTTAATATTTCTATTATTAGAATGTTTAACTTTTTAGGTGTCGTCGTCAGATGTTATTGGTTTTTTGTTATTTTTATGGCCTTATAACAATTATATTCAACAATTTTTATGAGCTTGAGGCCGTTTTAAGTAAAAACTTTATGTGGAAAAGCAACAATAATTTGAAAAAATGGTAGAAGTGATAGCTATTTCGGAAATCACCACATTTCCTCATCAGACTTTTTTCAGTAGGATTCGAACCGACGATCACCACTGACTCAGCCAGTTGCCTACGCACTGTGCTCGCGCGATTTTTTATTAAAAATTTTCGCCTGCGATGCTTTTCCATAAAAATCAAGGTAATTCTCTAGTGTACGGTAACAACACCTAAAAGAGGTTCGGAAAAGTCGGGAGGGGTACTAAACCACGCGTTTCGGCCCCCTATTAACAATCTGGAGGGGGAGAGCTAATATTATTAACCATTTAAAAGTTTTAAACGAAAAACTTTTGTTAAATTTCCTTGTTTTCTATGAGCAATTACCACGTCAAAAATGCACTAACAGGTCTATTCTGCTATGGTAATAAAAAGTTTGTAACCGGTAAATAAAGTTCCTGTCAATTCTTAAACCCTTTTCGCATTCTGTGTACTCTTGTAACCGGTAAATTTTGTTACCATCTCATAAGCTGGTAACAAAGTATTGCCCCGTGAAATATGCAATGCCAGAATTTGCACAATTCTTCATAGCTGAATTGGCGAATATTTTAACTGCATTACCAACGTTCCTGACAAGAACTGGTAACATTTTTCAGTAATAAAAATTTCCGGTTACAAAATCTTCGGTAACGTGCAGAATAGACCTGTAAATCACCAGTTTCCACTTTTAAAAAACTATTAAAACGTCTCCGGTTATAATTTTATGCAAACCAAATCAATAGGGCTATTCGCGATCCGGTGCAAATGGCCTAGCATCATTGCATTGCAAATTTGTATTGCAAATTATTTGCAATACACAAACAAAATACACGCATTTGCATTTGTCATGGCTTGGCAAATTTGCAATACCGAAAATCCATAGCATAAAAATGCTATGCATTGCATTCATAAACAAAACCAAAGCTGATGCACAAAAATTGTTTTGCAAAAGCTTTACCATGACAGTTTAATAAAGGTCGCTCACAATCCATGGCATATTTCTGCAATTGCATAAATTTGTCAGCTCTTATGCACCGAATCGCGAATAGCCCTATTTATTCACTTTTATTTTATATATTTCGTTAATAAAACAGAGTAAACAAACTTTGCGCCTGCCGAAATTATTATAACCTCAAATCGCTGGTATTGCCACTTTATTTCACATTTCATTTGCGCTATTATACTCAGGTTACACTATACTCTTCTTCTTCTTTTTTTACTTTCACCTTAGGGCCGTTTGCACCATGTCTAGTTAATTCTAACACCCAGTGAAACATCTTTATCGACGTTATCGACACCCATCATATAACATGTGATCGATAAAGCAGTTAACGTGCTTAACTGAAGGATGTACCTCCAGTTAGCGTTAACTAGGCATGGTGCAAACGGCCCTAAATAAGATATTCTAACCAAAATAGCAAAATACCATGGCAGCGCAACTTTTATGGTTTAGTTATTTTAGCTGTAATTTAAACTAAGCGTCATGGAGTGCCAAAAGTGCGATTTTTTATTAAAAATTTTCATTATTTATATATATATTAAACGAAAGAAGATACCGAAAAGCATTGAACAGTGCACACACCTTATAAGGAAAAGTGAATTGTTACGAAATACTAATACAGTGGCAGCACTATTTTGGAATCTCGCGTTTCAGTTCGCAGATTGTCAACTTCCTTTTGATAACAAAATAATCTATCTTAGGTGGAATTGATCATAGAAAACAACGAAATTTAACAAAAGTTTTTTGTTTATAACTTTTAAATGGTAAATAATATTAACCCTCCCCCTCCAGATTGTTAATAGGGGACCGTAACGCGTTTTTTTTCCCATCTTTTGATACACCATTTTAGGTAAATTTTCCGTTGACCCGTTAAACTGTACCAATACCCTACACGACACCATCCAAATTTATACACAAATTAATTCCAGTATTAATGCTAATCCACGTATTCGATTATTTACCGCTCTACTTTCCTCGACTTCGAAAGAAAACCTTTTTTCAAATGCCAAATTTATACATGTACAGGATTAAATATGTATGCTATTGCCGCCACACAAATCTCACTCACAAAACAAAACTAGAGTGGGCAATTGCTACTGTTTTGAATAAATTAATCGATAACGATTATTGAACCTGCACTCATGATACAAAAAGAGAAGCATGATTGAATAATGAAAGGTTTTGTAAGAAAAACTTTCTCTGGCTCTAATTTTATCAATGACACTCCCACCCTACTCCTAAAAACAAAAACAGTGATATTTCTTTTCCAAATTTCATTGCAAGTTTTAAGAACATTTTTAAATTGTTAGTAGTGAAATTTTTACTTTTTAAATTTGAAGAAATTCTTGTTCTTTATTCGCTAAGGCCAACAAGACAAAATGGGTGAGAATCGTTGGACTACAGAAATTCATTGTAGGCTAAAGATCGAAATTCCCTAAAGCAGTGTTTGCATTATTCAACTTTGCGTTCAACAATTGCGTTCAACTCAACGCAGGGTTGCACGAAAAAAAAGTTGAATGACTAAATGTTGGCTGGCGACCAACTTTGTTGAAAGCGATTAGTTGAAAGGCCATTCAACCAAAAGTTGAATGCAAAGTTGAACAATGCAAACACCTTTTTATGGCGAATATTTTGATATTTTTTCATATTTTGATATTTTTAGCCATTCAACTTTTTTTTCGTGCAACCCTGCGCTGAGCTGAACGCAAATGTTGAACGCAAAGTTGAACAATGCAAACACACTTTAAGGGCCGGTTGTTCAATGTCTGATTAGCACAAATCGGAGGTAGAAGCTCCGGTTAAGTACAACGACTGCTTTATCGATCACATGTAACATGCATGATGTCGAAATCGTCGATAGTGCAGTGGTAGTGATAACCAGATATTGAGCAACCGGCCCTAAAAGTGCGACATCAAAGTATTCGAATTACCATATTCGAAACAAACGAGCCATAACCGCGAAGGAAACGTAAGCTCCAAATTTTTTTAATTGCCTTTTTTATAACAAATATTGCATATTTTCCGCAAACAAATAGCTTCTTCATATCCATCATCTGGCAAACAAATACAACAAAAATAAGCTGAAAGTGGACCATCCATTCTCGAGTTATGCGCCATCTGACGTACGCAGGTTTGGTATATACATAGAAATATTTATTTTTAATAACAATCGGGGGGTTATATTCGATGTAAATAACCTTTTTTAAATTAAATAATTAAATCAAATTCGTTTTTGTTTTAAAATTGTGGTATTCCTTGGCAACCCTACAACTTTTAGAAGACAACGAATAGGCAATAGAGGTTGACAGCTGAGATGTCAGAAAATACACGTGTAGAAAAAGATCCGGTTGTTAGAAGTTAGAGGTTAATAAAAAGCAAACTTGGGATTAACACTACAATCATCTATGAAGTTTCATTTAGTCGGCGATTGGATATATTACATTTTTGGCGACGAGGAACTATGGCGGTGAAAGAGAGCACAATGGCGAACCTTAACCAGACACACACGCAATCGCTCGGAAAATTGACACCATTCCTACCAACGATGTCATGGAATAATTACAAGGAGCGGATGGAGTTTTACTTCGAAGCAAATGGCATCACAAGCGACACAAAAATGAGAGCGATATTTTTGTCAAGTGTTGGGGAAGACACCTATGAAATAATTCGTTCATTGTTGACGCCACTAGTGCCTAAAGGTGTAACCTTTAATGAAATCGTGGAGAAGCTAGACACGCATTTTCAACCAAAACCTAACGAAATTGTGCAAAGATTTTTGTTTCATAAGCGTAGTCAAATGAACGACGAAAAATAGCAGATTTTGTTAAATATCTACGAAAATTATCCGAGCATTGTTATTTTAAAGAACTCGAGAACATGCTACGTGACCAAATCGTATGTGGAGTCGTAGATGAAGCATTACAAAAACGACTTATCAGTGAGCCAAAATTGGATTTCAAGCGCGCTTATGAAGTCGCATGTGCACACGAAACGGCCTTCCGAAATGTAAGAGGTGTTCGGGGCAATAACAACGAAGTACTGGCCATGTCGTTTAAAAACCAACATAAAAAGATAGAGAACGTGAGCTGTTTTCGATGCGGTGGCAACCATGTGGCCAATCAATGTTTTTTCAAGGAAAAGAAGTGCGACTTTTGTCATATAAAGGGCCACTCCATTAAAGCTTGCTTTAAGAAAAGAGCGAATGATCGGAAACTAGCGGCAGTACATACCGTAGAAGAATCCAGAGACCACAGTGAGCTTTTGCCAGCCGTAAACGATTATTTTTTTGAACTAAATACTATTAATGCCGGCGCTAGTCAAATTTTGGTGAGAATATACCTCAACGGTATGCTGGAATATTTTGAGGTGGATTCAGGGGCGGCATGCACAGTAATCTCCGAAATTACTTGGACTCGCGTTGATCAAGGCAAACAGCCCCTAACCCCATCTAGTACGATTCTACAAACGTGGTCTAAAGAAAGGCTCAACGTTTTGGGTTGTGCTCGGGTGAACCTTACATATAATAATAAAGAGCACGTATTACCCGTCTTGGTAATTGCAGGCAGTGGTCGGAGTTTGCTGGGAAGGAACTGGTTTCCAGAGTTGGGAATCGTTTTGGAGGGGGTCCATGCGGTGGATACAGGAGCCGAGAAAAACGAGTTGGAACTCAAATACAGCAGAGTATTTAGTAAAGCTTTAGGAGCACACCATGGACCACCCATATCACTTGAGTTGATACCGGGATCGCAACCTATTTTTCGAAAATACAGACCTTGCCCTATTACATTGAGACCAGCTGTCGAAAAAGAAATCGAAAAGTTGGTAGCACAGGAAATATTAGAGCCGACTTCCTTTTCGCGATGGGCTACGCCGATTGTTCCCGTACTCAAAACGAGTGGCGATATAAGAATCTGCTGCGATTACCGTAGTACGGTAAATGCAGTGATAAAACCAAATGCTTACCCTCTACCACTTTTTGCGGAAGTAAATGCGGCCATCGCCGGAGCGGAATTGTTTACAAAACTAGACTTACAGCAAGCTTACCAACAGTTGAAGGTAGACGAATTCTCGGCGGAGCTACTCACATTGAACACCCACAAGGGCTTATACAAGGTGAAGCGGTTGCCGTTTGGAGTGTCAGCGGCTCCGGGACTTTTCCAGAGATTTATGGATAACCTCCTGGCCTATCTAGATGACATTATTATCGCGGGTAAAAATAGAATAGAGCATTTTAAAAACTTAGAGGCAGTGCTGAAACGACTCGAAGAAGCAAATTTGACAGTAAACAAGGACAAATGTCTTTTTGGGCAAACGCAATTACATTTTTTGGGATACCATATAAGCAAGCAAGGTGTCTCACCAAGTAGAGATAAAATCAAGGCGATATTACAGGGACCAATACCGAAAAACAAGGAGATGCTGCAGTCGTTTTCAGGGCTGTTGAATTTCTATAACACATTTTTACCGAATAAGGCAACAGTCGCCGAAAAACTTCATCGACTACTTGACAAGAACGCCCCGTGGAAGTGGACAGAAGAACACCAGAAGGCTTTTGATAATTTAAAAGCAATGTTAGACTCGGATAGCCTGCTAATACATTATGATCCAAAAAAACCTTTAGTGTTGGCGTGTGACGCATCACCATATGGAGTAGGTGCAGTGTTAGCTCACCGTAACAAAGAAGAAGAACGGCCCATTGCATTCGCATCAAGGACATTGGGTGTACATGAACGTAATTACGCTCAGATCGATCGTGAAGCGCTCTCGATTATTTTTGGCGTCAAACATTTCCATCAGTACCTGGCAGGAAGAAAGGTAATCATAGTAACAGATCACAAGCCGTTGCTGGGAATTTTCAACAGAAACAAGGCAATTCCGCAAATGGTGTCGCCCCGCATGTTAAGGTGGTGCCTGCTATTGTCGTCTTACGATTGCCAAATGGAGTACCGGCCTGGGAACAAGCATGGAAACGCGGATTGCTTAAGTCGTTTGCCCATGACAGCGCAGGTTGATGCTGACTCAGCGGGGCCTCCCGAAGTGTTCATGCTGGAAAGCCGCAGCAATTCGCCCGTGAACTCACATAAAATTTCGAAAGCGACTGAAATGGACCCAATAATCTCTCGAGTCATGCGTTGGTTACTGCACGGATGGCCAAAAGGTGAGATTGTCACAAAGGATTTTTTACCTTATTGCAGGCGAAGGTCGGAATTGTCAGCCCATAAACATTGTTTGCTCTGGGGAAATCGGGTGGTAATACCGCCGAAGTACTAAAAGCAAATACTGGAACTACTACTAGCATACCATTCCGGAATATGCGTAATGAAGGCTTATGCTCGTAGCTATGTATGGTGGCCCGAGATAGATAAACAGATCGAATTTATCGTAGCCCAGTGTGGAAAATGACAGTCGGTAATGAAGAATCCTCCAGCAGCACCGCGGCAACATATTCCGGCTAGAGAAGAGCTTGGGAGACTTTGCACATTGATTTTGCTGGGCCGTTCCAAGGGTACGTATTCTTAGTGGTAGTAGACGCTATGTCAAAATGGCTCGAAGTGAAAATAGTAAAAAATATGGCAGCTTCGGAAGTCAAGCGTACACTACGGAAAATAATCGCGACTCACGGGGTGCCCAAGCGAATCATTTCGGATAATGGTACGGCTTTCGTGTCGGCGGAAATGAAAGATTTCTACGCTTCGAACGGAATTAAATTTAGTTCCACGGCACCATATCACCCGTCTAGCAATAAGGAAGCGGAACGCATGGTCCAGTATCTGAAAGATTCACTAAGACGAATGTCTGAAGGAGACATGGAAACGAAGTTGCAGCGTGTTCTTTTCAAACAACACACCACTCCCAACACAACAACGGGTAGGACACCGGCCGAGATGCTGATGGGTCGACAGCTGCGAACGGTTCTAGATATGGTGCATCCTGATGATGGCAACGAGAACGCGTTAACAAATATGCCAATTAATCAGGTAAGACGTTTTGAAATTGGAGAGCCCGTGTATTTTCGAAATTACGGGGCTGGCCCCGCCTGGTTGCATGGGCACATTGTAGAAGTCACTGGACCGGTTTCCTATGTGGTTGAATCGACAGACAAAAGAATCGGCCGGCGGCATGTGGACCAGATACGTCGAAGAATAGTGCAAGTAG